GAAGCTGGAGCATAAGTCAATTTCTATACCTTTTGTGCCTTCTTCGGAGCAACTTGCAGATATATTGACCCATGTTGTGTCAAAGCGCCGATTTGAAGACTCACTTGGCAAGTTGGGCATTACAGATATCTATGCACCAACTTGAGCGGGAGTGTTGGTGTGAGTCAAAGTCAATGTTCTTATTAGGAATAGAGTTAGTTTCTATTAGGAATAGAAGTTGTTCTTATTAGGTATACAATTTGTATTTTATTATAATTATCAAATTTAAGTAGAATTCGGAGTTTTTAAGAGCTGAAGAAGGAGTTAACTACCGCACTTGTTTTGGCTCTTCCGGATAACACGGGGAATTTTGTGATCTACAGTGATGCATCATTACAAGGCTTGGGATTCGTATTGATGCAACATGATTGAGTGATTGCTTATGCCTCGAGGCAACTCAAGAAGTACGAGCAAAATTACCCTACCCATGAATTGGAGCTTGTTGCAGTGGTGTTCACCCTTAAAATTTAGCGACAATACTTGTAGAGTGAGACATGTCAGATCTTAAGCCTCAAGTACTTTTGCACCTAGAAGGAGTTGATTAAGGACTACGATTGTACGATCGAGTATCATCCTGGCAGAGGTAATGTTGCGGTGCATGCCTTGAGTAGGAAGTCTAGTGGAAGCCTAGCTCATCTCCGAATAGCTTATCTACCATTACTAGTGGAACTGTAAAAAGATGGAGCAGAACTGGGAATGAGCCAACAGGGTGGACTACTTGCTATCCACTCACTTCTTACGTATCAAAGAAACCTACACTACTACATTTTAGTATTTGCGCGATGAGAGTTTGCGCGACGAAGACAAATTCGTCGCGCAAAAAAACCTTGCACAACAACACATACAACGCGTAGCGCAAAACCGTGCGACGATAAACTTTCGTCGCACAAAAATACTTAGCGCGACAAAAAACTATATTGTCACACAAAGATAGAGAAAAAACCGGGGAACCTTTTTTTTGGCACCAAAACCTTGCGCCACGATAGATGTCGTCGCAAAAGATCTCTTTGCGCGACAAGAGTTCATGGCGTCGTTCAAAAAGTAAAAGGCGGGTTCTAGGTAATGGCAGCAAATTCTTGTGTGATGAGATATTCTCATTTGTCGCGCTTGCTATTTGACGACGAATGGTTTTCGTCGCGCGATCCTTCATCTTGCGCGACGACAAATGGCGCGACGAATACTTGAGGGACGAAAAATATTCTAGTTGTCGCGCAAAGTTCGATGTCGGCAGAACCTTGCGTGACAAAAAGAGGAATATTGCGCAACGACATGAGCTGTTGCTCGATGAAATTTGCACAATGATGAATTTTTTTCGTCACGCAAATTATTACGTTTATGCGCGACGACTATTTCGTTTTAGCGCGACGAATCCATGTGCGTCGCACAAAGCTTCGTCCTCTACATTATCGGTTTCAGCCATTTCAGAGACAAATTGCAAAAAAAATTGCAGCTTGGCTCTCCCTCTCTCTCGAACGATTTCAGCAAACAAAACTCGTCAATTTCATTTCGTTTATGAGTTGAACAAACTCTACTTCTGCTACGTTCGTTGGTTATGTATTTTTTGTCGTTAGTGTAAAAGTTTTAATGTAAATTTATACTGACACCGTTAATTTTGTTGTCTATAGGAATATTAAATGTGATTAGCGATTACTGGAGAACGATTGATAAAGTATTTTCGTCGTTTTATAATTTAAAAATATATAATTAATTACATTATGTTTAAATTGTTTTGTGAAATTATATTTATATTATATTGTTAAATTTATGCACGTTGATGTGCGAAGTTAATTGAAATTAACTTTGTACATTTTTTTTTAAGTCAAATTTAGTTTCCCGTTCGAGGTTAGTTGGATTTCGCGCATGGATGCGAAAGCGTGACTGCGGTCCAATTAATTCTTGAATTGTCCCATTATTTGGACAGTTTGGGAATGCATAGTCGTGTCACGTAATTTATGGATACATGATTAGATTTCGATTGTGGAGATTTTGGTGTCATCTCGGTACGTTCTTCGGGTGGTAATAGGTATTTTATACCTTTGGTACACCTCAAGAACTGTGTCGAGATGCTGCTGAAATTTATCCACGTCGAAATCTAATCTCATGTAGCCGTAAATTATGTGATATGACTATGCATTCCCGAATAGGATAGGGCCCTTACCGGAGGCATAAGGTGACATTATGATTTTGTACGAATACAACATGATTGTTGTATTGTGATTGTGGTTCCAGGAATTATGAGCAAGAGGTGGATACAGAACCCGACTAGGCGCAGATGAATATTTGGATGGAATTGAGGATTTTATTGACTTTGCACGGACACACAACCAGGGTGCAACTAGAATCCGTTGTCCTTGTCAGAGGTGTAACAATACGTTATGGGAGACAATTGAAAATGTTCAATTTCATTTGGTAAGGAATAGAGGTGGATACAGAACCCGACTAGGCGCAGATGAATATTTGGATGGAATTGAGGATTTTATTGACTTTGCACGGACACACAACCAGGGTGCAACTAGAATCCGTTGTCCTTGTCAGAGGTGTAACAATACGTTATGGGAGACAATTGAAAATGTTCAATTTCATTTGGTAAGGAATGGAATGATTGAGACATATAGCACTTGGACCTATCACGAGGAACAATTAGACATTGCTTCTTCTTCAAGGGCCACAAGAGTAGAGAATGTTGAACCTATTGTGGATCCTAATGAACAAGTCATGGATATTCTGAATGATGCTTTTCCATTTGCATCGACCATCAGCAATCAGGCGGGGGAAGATGACGTGCCTACATCAATGGACAGTGCAGAGTTCAAACAGTATGAAAAACTGTTATATCCGGGGTGCGAGAACTTTTCTGTTCTGACGGCCATTGTGGAGCTAATGCACGGAAAAATAAAGTATCGTATGTCGAACCTGTGTTTCGATTACTTTTTAGGGGTTTTTAAGAGAATGCTTCCGACAGACAATTGTTTGCCGAAAGACCACCGACAGGCGCAGAAGGTGTTGAATGGTCTTGGATTGGGTTATGAAAAAATTCATGCTTGCAAAAACAATTGCATGTTATTCTACAAAGAGTATGAAACATTGGATACATGCCCTATATGCAATGAGTCGATGTTCAAAACATCTCAGAATAGAATGACTAAGATCCCACAAAAAGTCATGCGTTATCTGACTTTGAAACCTAGGTTGCAGCGATTGTATATGTCGACGCATACTGCCACAGATATGAGATGACATAAGGAAAAACGGGTAGATGACGATGTGATGTGGCATCCTGTAGATGGGGAAGCATGGAAAGAGTTCGATCGAATGTTCTCTGAGTTTGCTGCTGATCCCCGAAATGTTAGATTGGGACTTGCCACTGACGGATTCAATCCATACGGGGTTCTAAACCAACACCACAGCACTTGGCTGATTTTCGTATTCCCATATAATTTGCCGCCTTGGAAGTGCATGAAAAATGAATATATGATGATGACTGTTTTGATAACTAAGGATCACGGCAGGTCAATCGATGTTTACTTACGGTCGTTGGTTGATGAGCTCAAGGATTTATGGACAAACGGTGTGCGTACGTACGATAAATCCACTGGAAAGATGTTCACTTTATGGGCAGCAGTTATGTGGACTGTGAATGATTTTCCCGCATATGTAATGGTTTCTTGGTGGAGCACGAAGGGTTATATGGCATGCCCTGTATGCAAGGAAGATGTGACTTCTAGTTGGCACACTGGGAAAGTTTGTTACCTTGGTCATCAGAGATAGTTGGCATGGGACCATGAGTGGCGGGAAAAGGATAAAGAGTTCGACGGGAAGAAAGAGCATGGCCTTAGACCTAGAGAGTGGTCCGGTAATGAGATCTTAGAACAGCTTAACCGTTTGGATTTTGCTCCGTTCGGGAAAATAGTTAGTCGGATCAGACCTGCTACACATATGAATTGGATGCACAAGCCTATATTTTTTGAGCTTCCATATTGGTCGAAACTAAAATTGAGGCACAATCTCGACGTTATGCATGTTGAGAAAAATGTCTTTGACACATTGATGGGCACGATTCTAGATATCGAGGGGAAGACAAAGGTCACGATCAAAGCTCGTCTGGATTTGGAACAAAATGGGCATACAAAAGGGTTTATGGATGAAAAGGGACGGTCATAAAGCTAGAAGGGATCTTGCATTTTTTTCCATGAAACCGAATGACAAAAAATATTTTCTAAAGTTTGTATCGATTGTAAAGTTTCCTGACGGGTATGCTTCTAATATCGCACATTGCGTGAATGTTGACTAGGGGTAAATTTACTGGACTAAAGAGCCATGACTGCCATGTCTTTATGCAACGCCTACTTCCTGTGGGGATTCGACACCTATTGCCGGAAGATGCAGTCAAGCCAATTGTATTGTTATCCAGATTTTTTTCCCAACGGTCGGCAAAAACGTTGTGAAGGAGAGACATTAATCAGTTGCGCCATGACATTGTCCAAGTCCTATGCAAGTTCACTACAAGAAAAATAGGCTAATGTGACCAAAAAACTTCCTCACATTAGGCAAAATTTCCTCGCAGTTACGTTAAAGTGACCATATTCTGGCGTTTTAGGCCCTTCACCCTATGTCAAATGTGACGACTATAACTTAGTGTCACATATAACACACTGTGACGATGTATGAATTTGTCACTGTTTACAATATGTGACCTCTCGTGTTTTGTCACATTGTCTCTTTTGTGACACGTAACAATAGGTCACCTAATTCATTTTTTGATGATTGGCAAGTGGTCACATGGTATCTAATATGACGATAGACAAGTTGTCACAGCATTCAATTTGTGATGCTTTATAAATTGTCACTTTATTTAAAATATGACATATAACAAATTGTCATATTGTGTAATTTGTCATGCCTAAAAAACTCATCATCACAATTGATAATACGTGTGAATGATTTCATGACAGTGATCCTAATAAATATAATAGATTAATAATATCCAAAATAGCATATCAAAGTTAATCATATATCCAAGGTTTTAAACACGCTTAATATCCAAAATAACATAATATAAACATGTAAATCTCATCCTAGGTTGTTGCCGACGGCATCAAAGCTGCACGCAACATTGACATCAACTGTGCATTATCCAGCCCACCATTGTTGGATGCCTCTAGAGCTGCCACCAAATTAGCCCTTAAATTTGAATAATCTTCCTGCACACTTTGCATATTTGTGGCAAGCATCTATAGCGTATCTTGTAACTTGCTAAGCTCAGAATTAGAAGCTCCAGAAAACCAGTGGTTGAGATATTGGCTTCCCCTCACGCTATAGCGTATCTCAGATTGCTGTCATCTCTCTTGGATTGTTTTTATGAAACAATTAGATCAATAACAGCAGCAGTTGCTGCCAGATGAACTGCATCTTCTCGTCTAAACATCACCTTACGCATTACCAAAATTGTATAATCCTGCATTGAATTAAACAAGAAAATAAAAAGACTTTGTTTATTAACAACTTCAACAAAAAATTTCACTTCTACAATAGCATACTTTGTGCGCAAAACATGACTGTATCAGAGTGATTCGGAACTTCATACCCCACAATTCAAAGTGTGCAAAACTATAACTTTTCAATGTTAAAAAACTGTGGATTCTGTGCATATTCCAGCAGTAGTGTATTAAATTCAAACATTAGAGCAAGAACTTTTTAAAAGGAAAGAAAACTTAGGAAAGTAGTAGTACAGATATTGTCCCAATATCTGACTTACTATTCTTGGCTCAGAATTGGGTTTTAAGTTGTCACGTTATAGACAACCAAAGTTTTTCTGACATGTTCAGATTATAAAGACTGGTATTGCAACCAAACTTAAAAAGAGAACCTATACCAAACTTAAAAATACACCCAAGCTTGATAAATCCAATTCAAACTCTTGGCATGTGCTTGTGAAAACAAGGTAAGCACAAACTCTTGGCATCAGCTACTGTGTATTAAACTTTGAACTCAGAATTAAACACCCTAAACTCAATAAAAATCTACCAGATTACATGCATCCTGAAGCTGATTAAATAAACTTTGAAACCATATAAAATTTGACTGAAATGGTGCTCTAATTTATAAGCTAAGGCAGTCCAAATAAGTGTTTCAAAACTGAAACTGCAGCCCTGTTTTTGACAGATTTTGTAGTCATAAGCTGCACAAAAACCAGATTTATACAACTAAGTCGCAGAGCACAATCCAATCAGTCTACAATTATAACTTCATGACCCTCCAAAAGTTCTCTAAGGCCATATCAACTTCTAAAAAATCAGCTTTTTCAAAGAAGATCTTGTATGACCATAAGCAGCACAAAAACCAGATCATCTCCTACAGCAATTGATAACTAGCAAGTAATCAGATCATCTCCTACAATGGAATTGGTTGGAAGAGAATTGCATATGTGCTGCTTCTTGTATCTTTCAAAAGTGTCTAAAGATGCATGCTTGTGCCATCTACAAACTCATATAAATTTGTTTCAATTCCCCTTTATACTTTCAATTAGATCTATAAACTCCTCTACTCAATGCTAAAGTAAGTCTCAAACATAGCAAAACGGGTGGCAGCAAAAGACTTTACCTTTAACCAACAGATAAATAATAAATCATATATCACAAATCACAAATCAACCCAGAAACTGAATTAATTCAGATACATACACAGGTATTAATACATTTACAATAAAATGAGAATCAAAGGGGAAAAGAAAACAAAGAAAAAGACTACAAATCTGACCTTTCCAGAGATTATGATCCAGCAATCTCTCTTGTGGTTGTGCTTGGCCACCTCATCGAAATGATAAACTTGAGAATCTGAAGCCATTCCTGCAGCTGCTCTGTTCATCACAAAGTCAAACCCCATCAACGCCAAACCAAAAAATGGAGAAAACCCAACCCAACAAAAATAATTAAAAGGACAGAAACTTTAAAGCTAGATTTGATCCATAAGTTACCAAAGTAAAAAGCTTGATGAGGAAATCAACAAAAAAGTGATAGAGAAGTCATGCTTCTTTTCTTACATAGGAGTGAAGAAGAAGAAGATGTTGGGCTTTGAAGCACAGCTCCTCTTTGAGTGAGTAACTTGTCTTACTCCATCTCTTTGGGGTTTCTCATCATCAATCACTTGTTGTCTTGTCGTCTGTGATAATAGAAGTGTGAGAAATTGTGGTTTAAACCTGTAAAGGCATACCTTCTTCAATCTTTCTCCTTTTTTACTTCCCCCAATTTAAAAGAAAGCCAAGAACAGAGGGATGGTTTATGGAGAATTTGGTGAGAAAGAGCCAGAGAAACAAGAGTAATATGAGTGAGAGAGAGAGAGAGAGAGAGAGAGAGAAAGACGCAGTCTGAGAAGAGATGAGAGAGGATTTTGGGTTAAGTGTGGGTTAGGGTTGGAGAGAGTATACGAGGGTTTCTGGAAGGAATAACACGCACCAAACTTAAATTTGGTGAAAATAAAAAGAGCGGCACGCAAAAAAATTGAGGGAAAAAATTTGTGACGCGCTAAAATATTATTTGTGACCCCCCAAGCCTCACAAATAATTGGTGGTCTCTCCCGCCCAAAACCGCCAGACTATTTGTGAGGGATTTGGCCTTCCTCCAAAATGGCAGATGTCTTCGTTGTCTTATGAGTTACGACTTGATAAATTCGTCACAAATACCTATTATATGTGACGACTTTACAAGCCTCACTTTTTATTTGGTCACATTAGCCTTTTTTTCTTGTAGTGGTTTGAGATGATATTCCCTTCAGCTTTCTTCACAAGTATGATTCACGTGATGGTTCACTTGCCAGAAGAGGCATTGTTTGCTGGTCCAGTGAACTATCGTTGGATGTATCCAATAGAAAGGTATATAATCATTCCATATTTGTGTATGCATGATTATCATATGCTTGCTACTTGCTAATTTGCATCGTATCGTTTTATTGTTGCAGGCTTCTCGGAGAGTTGAAAAACAACGTACGCAACAGAGTGAAGCCCGAAGGATCAATTATAGAGGCTTGGGTTCAATACGAGGCACTTACTTTCTGTGGAATGTATTTAAAAGATGTGGATACGGCTTTCAATCGTCCTCAGGGCAATAATGATGGAGGTATGAGAAATGCGAAACTTTCTGTTTTTGCCCAAAACGCACGACTCTTTGGAGATCCTGATAGAGGAGAGGCATTTTCCAAAAATGACATAGAAATAGCCCATTGGTTCGTACTGAACAATTGTGATGAGATAATCCTATACTTGGATGAGCATGAAGAGATGATGAAGCGAGAACATCCATCACATTTGTATTCCAAGAAACACCGTGAATTGTTTCCACAATGGTTTTTGGAATATGTAAGTTATAAGTGTTTTGTATTTGACATATATATTGTAGTATTTATGCTTCTCAAACTAACATATGTATGTTTTTGTATAATATTAGGTGAATAAGTTCAAATCAGAGAATTCCCCCATTTACAGTGAAGAGTTATATAACTTGGCATTCGGCCCAATTAGCGCTGAATTATTCTCGGGTTGCCATGTTAACGGCATTAAATTTTTGGGGACCACATGAGATGACAAGTTGTGTACCAAAACAGCGGTATCCATGCCCCAGGTGGAGGTGAAAGTACGGACATTGATTTCTATGGCAAACTCACAACTGTCGTGCAATTGCTTTACAAGGACCGATACCAAGTAATCATATTTAAGTGTCGATGGTTTGATACGAACCCGAACATGCAGGGAAGTGTTAAAATTGACCATGGGTTACTATTTGTGAACATTAACAGAACTTGGTATGGTGACGACCCTTACATTTTGGCATACATGGCAAAACAGATTATGTATTTAGATGACCCTAAAGCCAACAGCGGTTGGAAAGTTGTTCAGCAGATGGATCAGAGGAACGTGTAGAACTAGACCCATCTGACAACGACGTCGACGTTGTTGACCAACATTTGGAATCTTCGATGGAAAATGATGCACAAACACTTCTAGATACAAATGTTATACAAGAACCATTTCAGCTTGAAGGAGTGTCTTCAAGAGAAATACCGATTCAGTCAATTACAATTGACCTCGGTGATCTTCCACAATACGATCCAACCGTGGGCTCAAACAACAACAATGATGTACTTATGGAGGAGGAGGAGGATGAAGAAGAGGAGTAGGAGGATTGGGAGACCGAAAGTGATGATAGCGACGGTAACGAAGATTATTATAGTTCAGATGATGAATAATGTAATTTATTTGCGACCTGTCATGTAAATAATGTAATTTTTTTGCGACTTGCCATGTAAATAATGTAATTTTTTTGCGAATTGCCATGATAGCGACGGTATATCGTTTTATTTTCTCATTCTAAATTCCATGTATTCCTATGCCTTAATTTCGTAAGCTTCTCAATGGTTTTAGTTAAATATTTCATACCTTTTTAAGTAATTACTTTTAAATTTAATTACGACGTAAATATGAGCTATACCTTCATTTAGATCCTATAATATAAGCTTACTCATACCTTCATTTCAATCCAAAAGACATGACGTTTTTGGCAATAATTTATTTTACTTTTTTATATATAAAAAATTTGGTTTTAACCTTTGTGCGATGAAAAAGATCACGGATTCGTTGCGCAACAGTCGGGAATGATTTCAGAATAACCAAAACGTAGATCCCTTGTTTCTTTTATGGACAAAAGAAAAAAGGTGAGGAGGTGTGTCTTTACTAAAAGATATTCAAGATCGGGATAAACAACTAACAAAGCAAAACATAAAAATAGAAAATAAAAAAACAATTAAGTTGCACAACCATGGAAAAAAAAAAAAACCCAAAACACAGTAAGAAATTAGAATTAGGAAGCAGATCTAAAAGGATTTATCTAAGTCTGAAAGTAATACCAGAATGAACCCGAACTAAGAAAATCTTAGCCTGTAATTCAAGAACTAAACCCTAAACGTTTCTCCTCTATTCTCCTTGGTGCACCTAAGAAATTAAACCCCGTTATTAAGGATTTTAAAAAATTCTTATTTTCCATTCATTAATTTGGCGCGTAAGGTTTTTTCTCAAAAATTAAATTTCCACGGAACCCAAACGTAGAACTCATCACCTTTTTTTTTTATCTTCTATTTTATCTAGAAATATTTTCAATATCGAGATTCAAGATGCAATATATACGAGACTGAATTTAGAGTTCATGAAAAATATCTTCGTGAAAAATAAGTAACTATTACTAGTTCCTAAGCATACATACAATAAAACCAACAATACAGTCCCTGGTTTTGCAGTTTGCGCGATGAAGCAACTCGAATTCGTCGCTTAAATTTAACTTTGCGCGACGGTGAAGTCCTGATTCGTCGCGCAACAGTCCGAAATTAATTGGCAGAATAAATGTCCCGGGTTTACACTTGGTGCGACGAAAAAGTAAGTGATTTGTCGCGCAAATTGCTGGCACTTTGCGCGACCAAGGTCCTTATTCGTCGCGCCACAGTCTGGAATTGTTTGGCAGAATAACTGAAAAAGAAAGTGATTCGTCGCACAAATTTCTGGCACTTTGCGCGACAAAGGTCCTTATTCGTCGCGCAAACATTTTGCGTGATGAAGACAACCTGTTTCATCGCGCATAAGTATTAGTATTTAGATATTATATATTATATAATGTTTTTATCGCATACGCATTCTACGAAACTAGTGTCAACGATCCAACCGTCAAACGTGTTGGTATATGCTGCAAGATCATATACCTCAAAAATCGCAAAAAAAAAAAAATATTCATAGACTTGCAAACAGCACAAAACTTTTCAATGGTCATAAACGACAAATCACAATTTAACGGTTATTTTAACTCCGATTGCGATGATTTTTTACAGCTACACTTCATCACCCTATATGAATACAATGACTGAATCTGATCTTCAATTTAAAAGATTTACACTAGTGAATGCCACAAAATCTTACGTTACATTTAACGAATGTATAAATAAACTCTTCCTTGTTAGAGTTTGTATTGTTTTGACGGCATATGCATTTTACGAAACTAGTTTCAACGATCCAATCGTCAAACGTGTTTGTATGTACTGTGAGATCGTATACCCCAAAAATC